GTGTCCCTTGCTCGAAAGCCAGTCGAGTCCAACTCTAGGGTTGCGGTGCTCATCTCCGTTTCAAAGTCGAAGAGCCAGCACTGTCTGAAGACATTTCCATGGTCATGTGGCCGGCATAACTAAACTCCAAGGCGCACGGAACGCTGTGACCTTCCCATGGAAGTGATACCTATTTATCTACTTGCAATTTCTTGCTTTCGAACTGCTAGGTTGGCAGGAGCTGGAACAAAAGACGGGAGCTCACTCCGTCATGCGGCAACTTGGGTCTTGCACTGCTGAACTACCGACCTTCCACTGCCTGCAGTTCAGCATCTTAACCACTTGAGCCACCGCAACTCCTTTACTTCACTTACACCCTGCCTTTCTCCCTAATGGGGACCCAAAATGGCTCACATCCTCCTCCATTTTATCCTCACAACAAAAGCCCTGCAAGGTAGGCTAGGCTGAGAGCATGTGACTGGCCCAAGGTCACCCAGGAAGCATCCATGGCAGAGCAGGGATTCGCACTCGGGTCTCTGAGGTCCCCATCCAGCACTCTCACCACTACACCAGGCCAGTTCTACTACCGGAATTAGAATGCTGGAGTAGACGGGCCTTTGATCCGTACATCCACAACAGAACCAGACACATTTGCATCTGGATTCACTTCTGCGCTGGAACGCCCTTCCTTTCAACTGCCTGGATGGGTCTTTCGGTGTGGCCGCATATCTCTTGAGCCATCGCCACCGGTCATTGCTTTGCATGACTGAATCGGGCTCTTTGCATGTCGTGTGTAGATGCACGCTGAAACGTAACACGTTAACTGTCCGGTGTTCTTCTTCTTCTTTTTTTAAAGAACTACGTTGGACCAGGGAGTTTTATTATTTTCAGAAAAGAAAGAAAAGACAACTACAAGATACATGTAACAATAAGAAGAAGAAGAAGAGAAGAAGAGATTGGATTCATACCCCGCCCTTCACTTGGAGTCTCAGAGCGGCTTACAAACTCCTTTCCCTTCCCCTCCCCACAACAGACACCCTGTGAGGTGGGTGGGGCTGAGAGAACTCTGACATAAATCGCTCTTTTTCAAGGACAGCTGTGCCAGAGCATGTGACTGACCCAAGGTCACATCAGCAGGTGCAAGTGGAAGAGTGGGGAATCAAACCCGGTTCTCACAGATTAGAGTCCGCACACTTAACCACTACACCAAACTCATACAAAAATAACATACATTGATAAACCCAACATAAACTACAATAGTGGAGCTCATACTAGGTCTCAGTTTAACAATTAAGATACAGTTGAATCTTGGTTCGTTTTACGCACCTACACTGGTTTCACCATCAAATTTCATAATCAATACTCTTATACATTTCCTTCAATCCACCTATAAAATTTCGCCCAAGTTTCTTCATACAATACATTATTTCTTCCTTGTAATTGTAAAGTTAATTTATCCATTTCTGCAGCTTCGAGCAGTTTTTTAAATATTTCTCCTTTCGCTGGTGTTTTTTCTCTCTTCCAGTGTTTTGCATAAAGTATCCTAGCCGCCGTCACAACATGTACAATCAAATATATCTGTTGTTTTGCAAGATTCTGTGGAATAAAACTGTCCCGTGTTCTATGCCACAAACTCTCCACGGTTTGAACGTCCTTTCTTGGGAGGATTTCATGGCACAGTGCCATCTATGGACCGGCTGCCAAAACTGAAATGTCGTCATTGCACATTCCTTCGCTTTCCTTGATGGGCCATTTGTTGCCAGCTAGAGAAACCCTGGCAGATCTGAAGAATTTTAACTGCCAGAAAGGGAAAGGGAATATTAGGGGAATCTGTCCAAATATCTGTATCTATATGAGATGCACAATATTTTGGGAGAATGTCGTATGCCACTTTTGGGTCCCCGTTAGGAAGAAAAGTGGTATATGAATGCAATAAATACTGGGACTTTTAAAGAATCCTATTTTAAAAGTGTCACCCCTGTTATTTGATATACCTCATTCTTTGCAAATCTGCAACGCCCTCTGTTTTCCTCTGTCCACTTTCTTTTTAAAAAAAAGCAAATTAGTCACAGTTCATAACAAAACCAGTCCAGCCTAAGTAGTGATATCAAAAATACCTATCAGAATACCTATGAGAGCCAGTTTCGTGTAGTGGTTAAGAGCACAGACTCTAATCTGGGAGAACCGGGTTTGATTCCCCACGCCTCCACCTGCAGCTGCTGGTGTGACCTTGGGTCAGTCACAAGTTATTTCAGAGCTGTTCTCTCAAGGGCAGTCCTCGAAAGAGCTCGCTCAGCCCCTCCTACCTCACAGGGTGTCTGTGGTGGGGAGGGGAGGGGAAAGGAGTTTGTAAGACACTCTGAGACTCCGAGTGAAGGGCGGGGTATCAATCCAATCTCTTCTTCTCCAGAAAAAAAAATCAGTTTATAAAATTATTTTATGTAGTCCCCGGAAGGTGCTTCAGGTTATTCTCTGGAGAAACACAGAGGTTTCTGGGGAATCTCAAACAAGAGAGTCTTGGGGAGGGGGAAAAGAAGGTACGGCTGCCAACCTCCAGGTGAGACCAGGAGATTTCCTGGGATTACCACTGATCTCCAGGCGACAGAGATCAGTTCCCCTGGAGAAAATGGCTGCTTTGGAGGGAGGATATGACATTATACCCTGCTAAGTTCCCACTCCTCCCCAAGCCTCTCCCCCAAATCTCCAGGAATTTCCCTACCCCGAGTTGGCAACCCTAGGAGAAGGCCCTTTACTCTTGACCCACCAGAGGAATTTGCCGACTGTGGGAACTGCTAGCTTCCTCAGCAGAAATCTGGAGACCACATTAGACTGGCTGCTTCCTCATCCCAGGTGTGTGGCTATGACGGTGGCTGGCTACTCAGCCGGGAAGGAGATGCACTCTGTACATGCTCAGAGGACATCATTCTTCAAGGAGTTTAAAAAAGGAGGTTCCAGGGTGCAGAAGGCCCCAAACTGACTAGCTGAACCCAGGCTGTCCGAGGAGGAAAAATAATTTCTTGGTTGGCTGGGCTTGGCTTTTCTGCTCTTTTATTGGTCTGACGTAAAAAAAACCGATCCCGCGTTGGCCAGGCTGCACCACTCTGACTAGACAAAGAAGAAGACAGGATATTTCCAGTGTATTTAAAGGACCTTTTTGTTGGGTCTTCACACTGAGAGCCAAAATCTTCTAGTGGTTAAAATGCTGGACTTGGATTCAAATCCCTGTTCTGCCCATGAAACTTCTTGGATGATCTGGGGCCGGTCGCTCACTCGCAGCGTAGTCTACTTTAAAGGGCCGTTGTAGGGGAAAATGGGATCACCACATGTATTATAGCATCGGGAAAAAGGCAGAAAAGGGCAACTAGAATGATCAAAGGGTTGGAACACTTTCCCTATGAAGAAAGGTTAAGGTGCTTGGGGCTCTTTAGCTTGGAGAAACGACAGCTGAGGGGTGACATGATCGAGGTTTACAAGATTATGCATGGGATAGAGCAGGTAGAGAAATAAGTACTTTTCTCCCTTTCTCACAATACAAGAACTCATGGGCACTCCATGAAATTGCTGAGCAGTTGGGTTAGAACGGATAAAAGGAAGTCCTTCTTCACCCAAACAGTGATTAACACATGGAATTCACTGCCACAGGAGGTGGCGGCGGCTACAAGCATGGACGGCTTCAAAAGGGAATTAGATAAGCATCTGGAGCAGAGGTCCATCAGTGGCTATTAGCCACAACGTATAGATAGGGGCTCTGGGGCAAGTGATGCTCTGTCTTCTTGGTGCTTGGGGGGGGGCAACAGTGGGATGGCTTCTAGTGTCCTGGCCCCACTGCTGGACCTCCTGATGGCACCTGGTATTTTTGGCCACTGTGTGACAGAGTGTTGGACTGGATGGGCCATTGGCCTGATCCAACATTGGCTTCTCTTCTGTTCTTATGCCAGGTTGAGCTCTTTGCAAAAAGGGTGGGATTGACATGGTGGGGAATGAACAATTCAGGAATTATTTTATAATGTGGGTATTCATTGGCTAGCCTCCTGGGTGGCCCTTACGCAAGCTGAAAAGCAAGGTATGAATTTTGTGAAATCAAATGAATGAATGAACGAACAAATAAATGAATGAACGGACAAATGAATGAACAAATGAATGAACGAACGAACGGCCAACCAAACAAATGAATGAATGAACAAATGAATGAAAAAATGAACGACCGACCGAACAAATGAATGAATGAATGACCGAACAAATGAATGAATGAACGAATGAATGAACGAATGAATGAATGAATGAACGACCAAACAAACAAATGAATGAATGAATAAGAGGATTTGGCTTGTTGTGAACAGTGAACTTCTTGGATCATCTGGGGCCTTTTGGATCAGGAATCCTGCCTCCCAATTTCTGACATGTGGTGAAGGGAATCCTTACATGCTCAGAGGCACTCTTGCCAGTCATGTTCCAAGGCCGAGATCACATTCCCAAACAAGCTCAGAGTCTGATCCCCAACTCGAAAGGAATCGCTTGCAGACGCTCAGGCCTCTGGGTGTGATTGCTCTGATTTGTGATTTTTGTGTATTTTGTGCATTGCGTATTGTTGGCCTATTGCATTGTGTCTTTGTGTCTATTGTGATTTTTTAAAAAAACACTCTGATCCTTAACCCAATTAAGCTGATGCAGCACTTTTGATTCAGGAGGCACAGAAGAAGACGGACGGGAACTTCCCTCCAAGCTCTTCAGGATGTTTTATTGACAAATAATTAGAGCAAAGGGTACCTCTATCTGGCCGCTGCAGTGAATCAATTGCCTTCAACCGGTCCACGCCCAGACACCCTCCTTCTACAGGGCTGTGGTTCAGATGTCAGTGACTCACTCACTTAAAAAAAAAGAGCCCATAAAGCCACTCCGTCTTATGCTGTCAAGAGAAGGAAAAAAAAAAAGATAAAGTTGCACTTGAAAAGAAGTTGGGTGGAGTTACAGAGTGGAGGCGTCTTAAGGATTGCCCGGCATATTTATAAGACGAGCCCGGTCTCTCATCTGGTAAAGAGCCACTGAGAGGCAAGCCTCTAAAGAACGGAGAGGGATTCTCTCGTCTGCGCACACCCAAGCCTAGAAGGAAAAACCAGCCATCACCATGGGCAGGCAAAAGGAGGTGCTGTCAGTCATGGGACAGAGGCTGAGGATCAGGAATAAACTCATCCGGCAAGCTCTGGCCGAATGCCTGGGGACCTTGGTGCTGGTGGTAAGTGAACCGGGAACCCGAGTGCTGGGCGACGGTTTTCGATTGGGTGGTCAGTGAGGAAGAGTTGCCCAAATGCTGATAGCAGGCCGAGTAACATTCAAAGGTTGATTTAGAGGAATGGTTGCGGAGGGTTTGGCACGAACGATTCGTAGATATTGGCACCAGTGTTCCCTCTAAGCTGAGTTAGTGTGAGCCAGCTCAGTTTTTTAGCCTCTGGCTCACACATTTTTGTCTCAGCTCAGGAAGGATGGCTCCAGAGCAAGGTAATTTATGCAGGAGCCAAATTGCTTGCTCACAACTTTAATGCCAGTAGCTCACAAAGTAGAATTTCTGCTCACAAGACTCCACAGCTTAGAGGGAACATTGCGATCGTTTCTGTTGGGCTGATGCACAGAAGCGTTCCTCTCATCGGCATGATGGAAGGATTCGTCCTGAAATGCTAGAGAGAATCAGGAACAGAACCTTTCCTGGTCGGTGCAGGAATGGGGAAAGTTTCGAGTTATACTGGACCATAGCACAGTCACAAAGAGCTCTGCGTAACCGAAAAGTTTGCATGCTGCTGCGGCAATCTAATTTGCGGCCAAGGAAAGATGGCACACACTTTTTGTTTCTCGCTTCATGCTCTGTTGTCTCTCCTGTCCTTCTTGAATCCATTTTTTAAATCACATTTTCTAGTGATAGGAGTCGGACCAGTGTTCCTTCTAAGCTGTGGATTCCTGTGAGCAAAAATTCTACTTTGTGAGCTACCGGCATTAAAGTTATGAGCGAGCGATTTGGCTACTACATAAATTAGTCTGCTCTGGAGCCCTCCTTCCTGAGCGAAGACAAATATGTGTGCTCCAGAGGCTAAAAAACTGTGAGCTAGCTCACACTAACAGCTTAGAGGGAACACTGGCCAGGACTCTGGATGCAATTGCTTTGATTTTCACAGTAGAACTTGTGGTATTTTAAACCTGACTCCGTTCAGTGGGATTTATAGTTCAAAAGTCGTTTTTATATATGGGAATGGATCTGATACTAAATTATTACGTTATTATGTTGTAACTGTTGATGTATGTTGAAAACTTTGTTGGTGATTAACTGGCTGGTTTGTAATTTTGGATTCTCAGGACTTTTGTATACTGTTTTGCAGTTATTGTACATGTTATAAGTTATACTTGATCTTAATAAACATTAAAAAAAAAGACTAACAAAAGTTCCTCCCCTGCCACACATTTTGCTAGTCTTTAAGGTGATCCTGGACTCTTTCCTTTTTCCACTGATGAAGGCAAACACGGCTACTCATCTTAATTTTCACGATAAGCTTCCAAAATACATTCTCAGCTGAAGTCCTATTGTTGCAGATTCACATCTGTCCAAGGGTGGTTTTGCACACGACTCTTTCGGTGCCCATCTGGTTTAAGTGTACACTTAAAAAAAACGTGCAGTGCACCGAGGATAAATGTGCAAAGATGTGCCCTCATCCAGGACTGACTGCAGCTCCTTCTTAAGTGCCCCTCTTGGGTTTGACCTGTGTAATATGTGAAACCAGCTGCCTGGGTGACTTCTTGTCACGGCTCACAGAGGGCTCTCGAACCCAGATCTCCATCTCTCGTGCTCTGCCCTGGCCCCCTGCCATCTCCATGTTCTTACGAAAAGAGGGAGACGTCGGACGAAAGATAAGAAAAATGACATTGTTCTTTGCTGATTTTCTTCAGCCTGAGCCCACTTTGCAGTTTTGCTCAGTTGGCTGAGAAAGAAAAGGGTACCGAGACGCCCACGTCTGTATCTGTGACCCTTTCAAAAGGGCCCTTTTTAAAATCTTAAAATTCAGGCGGTCTGTCGTGACTTTTGTGAGCGCCGTAGGGTGGGAATCCAGCAGAAAGAGGTTGTCTGAAGGAGTCCTTATCAATGTCTCCTCTAAGCTGAAGTAGTGTGAGCTAGCCCATAGTTTTTTTAGCCTCCGGCTCACGCATTTTTGTCTCAGCTCAGGAAGGAGGGCTCCAGAGCAAGCTAATTCATGCAGGAGCCAAATCGCTCGCTCACAAATTTACTGCCAGCAGCTCACAAAGTAGAATTTTTGCTCACGAGACTCCCCAGCTTACAGGGAGCATTGGTCCTTATGCGTGCACATTTGAGAAACCGGTGTTGCCGGTTTTGCCCAGTGTGCATGGCATATGGGTGTGTCCTGGAACTGGGGAGGGGGGGGGAGAGAACCATATGCCTTTCTCCGGCACAAATCCCTGTCTCCCCAGTTTGAGTGCTATGCTGTCTAAAGAACTGGAGAGCCACCTTTGAGTCCTGACATTTCTGGCAAACGTCTCCAGGTTTCTCTCTCTGGAGTAAATAATAGGCTGAATGAGTGGTTTTTCAATACTGGCACGTCAGATCTCACCTGGGCACCTAAATCACCTGCTCAGTTAAGTGTAAGATCTAAATATTTATTTTGGAATTAAACGGCAGTGAACAAACGGCTCTCAGAATCTGGGCTGGCTGGAGACGTTTAGGTGCCAACCCAAACATCGCGTTTGGTGTAGTGGTTAAGTGCGCGGACTCTAATCTGGGAGAACCGGGTTTGATTCCCCACTCCTCCTCCACTCGCACCTGGCTGGATGACATTGGGTCAGTCACAAGCTCTGGCACAGCTGTCCTTGAAAAAGAGCAGTTTGTGTCAGAGCTCTCTCGGTCCCACCCACCTCACAGGGTGTCTGTTGCGTGGAGGGGGAGGGAAAGGAGTTTGTAAGCTGCTCTGAGACTCCAAGTGAAGGGCGGGGTATAAATCCAATCTCTTCTTCTCTCTTCTCTTCTTCTTCCTCACTCGCTAAGGGCAGCAGCCCCGATCCACAGGGATTTCCCCTTGCACAAGACCCGTGGAAGGAACCGTGGCTGCCAAAAGGCAAGTCATGTTCCTGCTGGCCTGCAGTTGGGCGCTCCAAATGGCTTGCATCAGCTGTGAATGCTTTCCAAGGATGTGTTCAAGGGATTTCTTCTGCCTGAGGGCCAAATTCCAGAGGACAGCCACTGAAATGAACCGCCTGTGCGGCTAATGGGCTATCCTCCCTCTCTGTCTCTCTTTCCTGCGTCGTTCCTAATTTTGATGGATTGATCTAAAAAATGTCTCTGCTGCCTCTCTAGCCTGGCTTCAGTCTCTCACTGAGAGCCAGTTTGGTGTCGTGGTTAAGAGCGGCGGACTCTAATCTGGGAGAGCCGGGTTTGATTCCCCGCTCCTCCACATGCAGCTGCTGGTGTGACCTTGGGTCAGTCACAAGTCCTTTCAGAGCTGTTCTGGAAAAAGAGCAGTTCTTGAAAGAGCTCTCTCAGCCCCACCTACCTCACAGGATATCTGTTGCAGGGAAGGGAAGGGGAAAGGAAAGGAGACTGTAAACCGCTTTGAGACTCTGAGTGACAGGTGGGGTATAAATCCAATCTCCTCCTCCTCCTCCTCCTCCTCCTCTTTTCCTCTATGTAATGTTGGTTGCAAATCCTTCACGGACTGCCCTCTCCTCTGTGTTCTGTACTGCAGCTGGCACGCGGCTGTTCTGTGAAAGAAACCATTCTTTACGATGGCGTGAATGTATCTTTCCTTTCCCAATTGTGCTGTGCTGCGCCATCTTTGTGCGCAACATTTTATAGAGTAACCCATGCAAGAAGAAAAAGCCCCTACCCTGAGGAATGTAGGTTCTCCCAGTGTTGAGTCAACAATCATAACAGCCCCCTTCTGGATCCATGGCAGCAGGGCTATTTTGGGGCCGGAACGCACAGGAACGGAGTTCCGGCTGGCTCCTGAGTTGGCCACGCCCAGCAGGAACTCATTAGCATAACAGGCCACACCTAACAGCAGACACTCATTAGGATTGGCTACATTCGGGGTGTGTGGCCTAACATGCAAAGGAGTTCCTGCTCCAAAAAAAGCCCTGGCTTTTGACAACAAAGTAAACAGAATAAGAAGCAAAAGGTGGGTGTGGCTGGATGACCACACTTCTGGTAACATGTGGGGTGTGGTCTAATATGCTAATGAGCTGTACGGTCAGGGGTGTGGGCTAATATGCTAATGGGTCTCTGCTGTTGGGTGTGGCCTATTATGCTAATGAGTTTCTGCTGGGCTTTTTCTACAAAAAAAGCCCTGCATGGCAGGAATAGATATTGTATCTTGCTTCCCCCCCCCCCAACCACCAGCAGAGCTAACCGCACTCCCAGTAGTGATTTAAAGAAGAAGGAAATTGCACGGGAGGAGAGAACCTAACGCCCCTTTTCCTCCGCTGCTTCCTCAGTCTCCCAAGTGGCTACATAAGACATTAGTGGGTTTTTTTTTTGAAAGTGAGAGTTTCTTGAACACAGATCTCTCCCGGTATGGCTGTTTTTGCCCTTTCAGATTAACAGGCCATCTGGAGGATGAGTCCGGGAAAGGAGCATTTCAGCTGCGGCTCAAATGCTCTTGTGCCGGAGGAAGCTCTGTCGAATGTAACTGACTGCGACGAAGGGAACTTTCCTGACCCTCCAAAGCTCCTAGCCTGAACCTCTCGTTGGTTTCTAGAAAGTGCTCCTGGACTCGATTCTAGTTCTGGGAAGACGTGCAAATTGGTCTGCTTTTAAGAGCTTGCTTTATGAGAAACGCCTCCCTCTCGGGAAAATGTGACAGTCGGTCTAAGCTGAATGAATGGAACCCAATGGGATCATTCGGTTTCTGCATTAAGACCCCCCTTCCCCACAAGTTCCTGCCAAAACAAATTGGTGCGGGGGGAGGCCGCTCTTCCTCTTGATGCCCCCCCCCAAGTGTTTTTAATCCATGAAATGCAAGAGCGAGATTCGCACCCATATTGAGGGTCGCCACTGCAGTGTTCCCTCTAAGCTGAGTTAGTGTGAGCTAGCTCACAGTTTTTGAGGCTCTGGCTCACACATTTTGTCTTAGCTCAGGAAGGAGGGCCCCAGAGCAAACTGATTGATGTAGTAGCCAAATCGCTCGCTCGCAACTTTAATGCCAGTAGCTCACAAAGTAGAATTTTTGCTCACAGGACTCCGCA